GGGCTGCGCGAGGCGCTGGGCGCCGAGGAGGCGGGCGCGCACGAGCTGGCGGCCTCGCCGCCGCCGCTGGGGCCGCCCGAGCCGTCCGACGAGGACGCGCCCAGCTCCGACGACCTGGAGCAGTTCGCCAAGCAGTTCAAGCAGCGCCGCATCAAGCTGGGCTTCACGCAGGCCGACGTGGGGCTGGCGCTCGGCACCCTCTACGGCAACGTCTTCTCGCAGACCACGATCTGCCGCTTCGAGGCGCTGCAGCTGAGCTTCAAGAACATGTGCAAGCTGAAGCCGCTGCTCAACAAGTGGCTGGAGGAGACGGACTCCAGCACGGGCAGCCCCACCAGCCTGGACAAGATCGCGGCGCAAGGGCGGAAGCGCAAGAAGCGCACCTCCATCGAGGTGGGCGTCAAGGGCGCCCTGGAGAACCACTTCCTCAAGTGCCCCAAGCCCTCGGCGCACGAGATCACCTCCCTGGCGGACTCCCTGCAGCTGGAGAAGGAGGTGGTGCGCGTCTGGTTCTGCAACCGGCGGCAGAAGGAGAAGCGCATGACGCCGGCGGGGGCCCCGCACCCGCCCATGGAGGACGTTTACGCACAGGCGGACTCGTCGCCGCTGCACCACGCGCTGCCGGGGGCCGTGCACTGACTGCTCCGGCCACGCGCAGCGAGCGGCCCCGGCGCGGCCCGGCCCCGGGAGCGGGCGGCCCCGGTGGCGGGACTCGCTCTAACTTATTCCTCAGACTGGCCCGGCCGAGCCGCCCGCGCCGCCGTCGTATTTATTGGCCCGCCCCGGGCGCCGGCTGCCGGACACAGCAGCAGTAGCCAAAGGTTTGCGAGCTCTAATTTATTCCCTCCCCGGCGGCGCCGGCCGGGCCCGCCGCTCGCCCGGACGACCCGCCGAGGCTCCCCCGGCCCGTTTCTATTTATTTGCTAACCGTACGCGGAGCTCTCGCCCTCCCGTTGGTAGGTTCGGTTCCTCCCCTTTGGGTTCGGTTTTTGTTTGTATCTTTATTGAGGGGGAAGAAAAAAAAATGTAGACTGCGAGGGTACGTTTCTATTTATGTTATAGTAAATATTTTATTACTTACATAAACCATTTACCCAGGAACCGGTCTCGTGTGGTCTTTGCGGGCTGGAGGAGCCCGGGGCCGCCGGGTCCCGGTAGTGGCGCTGCCCTGAGCGACCCCGCGGCGGGACCGGGACCGGGGCCCGTCGCCCTCCTGCGGCTCCGCGGCACTTGCTCCTCTCCCGCTCTCGGGCTTATGCGCTTGTGTCCCGCCTGCACCTGCGTAAATTGCCGCCCCCCCCCCCCCCAAAAAAAAAAGCAAATAAAATAAAAGGGGAGGGGGAAAAAGGAAGAAAAAAAAGGGGGGGAAGAGAAAAAAAAAAGGGGGGGTTTTAGACAGGCTGGCATCGCTCAGGTTTCGTGCAGCCTGGGCCGCAAGAAGCAGCGCTGCCGAGGAGTCTCCCCGTCCTCGCGCCTATTTCTGATGTCGCCGGGGTTCCCTTTCTTGGTATCATGCGCTGGCGCTTTGCGGTTGTGCTAAGAAAACCTGAGAACTTAAATACTGTGTTCTCTGTCTCTAGAGGGTTCAATCTGTGGCTCTTAAAACCCTTTCCATTCAGCAAATCTCAGCAGGTCACACGTGCGGATTCCCCTTTCTCTTTAGATACTTTGATTCTCGCAATATTTTATGCGCGGGAAAACTTCTGAAACTCGTGTCTGTGCAGGCTCCTGGGCTGGTAAAATAACCGCTTAGCAGAATGCGGGGTGAAGGACTGGAATTCTTTCTTTCTTTTTTTTTTTTTCTTTTTTTTCCCCCTCCATTTTCTTTTTCTTTTTTTTTTTTTTCAGAGAACTTAGATGGCCTCGGCATTTGGTGCTTTCTGGGTTCCTTACCTTATCCTTGGTGCAATTTGTATATTGCAAGTTTAAATGGAATTCTTTTTTTTTTTTTTTGGTGATAACTCTGCATCTTGCATATAGGTTCAGTTATGCATATATATTTTTACATATCAAATATAGTTTACACTTGAAAATCCACACGTGAAAATTGTTTTGCCTCAACTTTGACTTTTTTTGTATTCCGTGCCTTTATGTGTGTGACACTTTGCCAAGCAGCTGCATTTGCAATAGATCGCTTTATCAATTATTGCAATTTCCATGTCTTTTAAAATGTTATTGTACAATAGATAAAACAAAATTTTAGTTCTCACTCAAATATAGTGAGATGGGTTTTGAGCCTTTAAAATAAAAAGTCACTTTGAACAGTTATTGCCTTAAATGCTGTGTTTGCTCATAAATATGTAAGGAAGTATTAATCTTGCAGTACATGTGAGCTGGCAAATACTGCAAATTAATGCATTAGTAACTTTTTTCAGCATACAGAATGTAGTAAGAAACCTTAAAGGATTTGGTGTGAATTGTATGTTTTGACAGCTTTCGCTAGCAACTCGGCTTCCTTTTATTTTTAAATAAGACTGAATATTTTTGTAGGAAAGCACAGAATTATAGAACAGCTATAGAGAACGTGATTCAAAAAAAAAAAAAAAAAAAGTTGTATTTGCTAAATATTTACTGTTTTCCAGCTTGCTGACCACCTAGGGTAGGTTAGGTGATGTACTCCTCTTTGGGGGGGGGGGAGAGAAAGTAAAGAAGCGTGATTAGAAATTAATGGAAACGAGGGTTTGAGCCTATTCATGTGAATGTTTTCATGTCGCACTTTCGGTTTTTTTTTCCTCGCTACTGTATGTTCTTCCGTGTGTTTCAGGCACATATTGTTGCTTTTAATGCTGGGTAACGCTGCGATTCTGCAGCCTTTCTTAAGACTCTCTGGGCGCTAATCGCGCGTTAGGGGAAGAACAAAAAAAGGCCAGTGGGAAGCGAACAAAAGTGTCTCGAGAGGAGCAAAGAGCCCCTTGTCCGCGGCTGCCCTGCGCGCAGGGAGCGCGGCCGCCTCCCGCGGCGCGGAATTGCCGCGGCCGGCCGGCAAAACGGGACAAAATTCCTTTCTGCGGTGCCGAAACGCGCCGCGGTTTGGACTCGCTTGAAACGCGTTCGTTCTCGTGCTGGAAGGTGAAGGAGCGGTTGCGCGGGGCTGGTTCGCCGCTTGCTGGCGCGGAAGCCTTGGGTCGGTGCCTGCCGGGGCTCGTGGAGGGTGTGGGAAGGGGGACACGGGGCCGTGGGGCGGGATGGAAGCAGCGCCCGGCTCCGAGTTGAGCCCTGGTTCTGCATGGAGCGGGGCTGCGAGTTGAGCCCGATGCCAACGCTGCTTTCCCTGCGTGGGCTCTGCTGCTCCCGCCGCCCCGCTGGCGCTCACACCAGTTCGGAACCATCGGGGCGAGCGGAGGAGCTTGGTAGCCAGACAGTCCTGGCTCCGAGCAGCACTAGGGACTTGCTCAGCTCCGTGAGGCAGCTGTACTTTGCAGGGCACTGTAGGTCTCCTGCTTGTGTTCCGATAAGATGGAAGAGGCTTTGGCTGTTTCCTACCGCCGGGTGGTTCGTATTGGCCCGTTGCAGCCAGCGGACCCGGAGCTGGCGGTGACCGTGGCGCTGGGCACCGTGCAGGGCCGCTACCTCCAGAAGACAGGGAGAAACAGAGGGAAGCACCCGATTAAGGGAGCTCCCTTCTTTTGGGATCAGGGCTAGCGAGACCCGTGTGCTCTGTGCTGCGGCGTTGGCGCTCGTGGTGCAGGTTACTCCAGCCTTGTGCATGGCGTGCGGCCGCGCTCGGCACGTTAGCAGCGGTGCTGCTGGTGGTGAGCGGGGTTGTGGTCTGACTGGCAGAGGGGCCGGGCTCGTCCTGCCAGGGTGAAGTCCTCGAGTTTCTGTTGCCCTGTGTTCCTGCCCCAGGGCAGTGCCGCTCGTGCACAGGGCAGCCCATTGCACGGGCACAGCGCCTGCTCCGAGCCAGCCCGGCACGGAAATTGGGAACCGGGAGCATTTCACAGCTCTTGGTGTTTTCCCTCCACTGTGGAAACTGGACCTGTGGTTCTCTGATCCCATGAGCCCAGAGCCAGGCAGCATCTCCACTCGCCCACTGGATTTGCAGCATGAGGCAAAACGTGGTTTTAAATTCTCAGCCAGCCAAAACTTTGGGAAGTAGGAGAGCGGCTGACTGATGTGCCTGCATCCTTTGTGGTCATTTACAAAAAGGGTTATTAAAAGTCTGATGATCATACCAGGTGATTTAATGGTTTTATTTGTGTATTTTGTGTCTATCTATGTACTTACATATAGGCTCACACACTCAGTGTTAGGTTGGAAAAGCTTTTTCTCATTCACGTCTAGCACGGACAGAGGAGGATGCGGCTGACGTGGGCAGGTGCTGCCCTTGCAAGGAGATCCACAGAAGCTTCAATGCAGCAGGAGCTGTGGCAGCGGGACAGAGAAGGAGGTTTCACTGCAGCAGCAGCAGAGTTTTCCTCAAAAGCAGCGTTGGGGCTGCTAGGTTTTATTCAAAGGTCTCCCATTAACATCTAGAGGTCGAGGAGGAACTTTTGCCCTGTTGTGGGTTTGTAAGTGGCCTCCTCTGAGCAGCGGGGCTAGAGACTTGGCAGCGCTGGGGTCATTCCCATCCCCGGCCGCAGCAGATCCCTGCTCCTCTGGGCAGCAGGATGCAGTCCCTGGGCTCCCAGGACCCATCCTGCGGTGCCGGATCCTTCGCTTCCCCTCCGCCCGCCCCTGTCCCACTGGCCAGAGCTGCAGTCCCAGCAAGCAGCTCAGCCAGCGCTGCAGCCCTGAGGGCTTTCCCCAGCCCGGGAGGATCCTTGCCCTTTGCTTTTCTGAAAATCACTTCCTTTGCTCTCAATAGCAACAGCCGGGCTCAGTATACAAAGAGGAGACTTGACCCCCTTGCTCGCCCCTGCAGCCTCCTGCGCGTGGCCGTGGTGCAAAGCCCGACGCTGCCCTGCTCGCGGTGCAGGAGCCCAGGGCTGCGGCCGCGGCCCTGTGTCGAACCCACACTGTTTGATATTCCGCTTGGCGAGTGCTTGCTCCATCTTTAATTATTGCTGCTAAAAGCACCAGGGGACAGAAAGCAAAAGCCAGGAATAAATAGCAAGGGGTGATCAATTGGGAATGAAAACCTTGTTATCGATCACCTCTAACCTCTGCTTAAGCTAATGACAGAGCTGCCCTTTAGCTGTCCCCGGTGCAGCTGCCGCAGGCCCTGTCTGTCATGGGGCATGGGATGGGACTTGGACCCCGCCATGAGGCTGGGATGGGGACTGTGGGCCTGGAATGAGATGGGACAGGATGGGATCCTTCCACAGGGATGGTGTCCGGGCTGCCTCGGCACCTCACGAGGCAGGGCAGCCCAGTCCTCCATCGCCTCCCCTCCTCGGCGCTGTGGACAGTTGGGCAGTTCCTCCAGGGAGGCTTTAGGGCGACGCATCCGCAGGGCCCCTCCACGGCTGCTGCACGGCTCTGAGTATGGCTCCCGCCGCCGCCTGCCCCGGGCACGCGGGGGAAAGCTCTTTTCCTGCAGGAATCCTTCCTGTCCCTGCACCCAGTGCACCCAGCTCTGCTGTCCCGGAGCCCCCGCGCCCGGGCAGTGCCTGCTGCCCCTGGAGCCCGTAGCACGGTGATGGCCCCAGGCCACAGCGCTGTGTCCATGCAGGCTGCGATGCCCGTGTGTGCCCCGTGGTCCTGCCCGGGCTCGGTGCCTGCGTGTGCACGGGCATCGCTGTGTGCACGGGCATCGCTGTGTGCACGGGCGGCCCCGCGGCGCTTCCTCGGCGCTGCCTTTGCTCTGCTCCCGTCGCCTCCCAGGCTGCCTTGGCCTGGCAGCGTCTGCACAGTGCGCCAGGAATCACTGAGTCACCTGCACTCTCCCAAGTCTCCCAATAGTTCCCAAGAACTGGCTCTGCTCCGGGAGCTCCCGGCCCTGCCACAGAGCCCAGTGCCGCCCAGTGCCACCCAGCACGATGGCCTCCTCGGGAGCCCTGCAATAGAGAGCCCTCCTGCCATGCAGCTGGTCCCGCAGATGGGCATCGAGCTCCCCGCGCCCAGATCCAGCATTCGGGGCTGATGCTCTCCCGGCCCCTCCATGCCATTTCGCAGGAGCTGCCACGGAAGCTGTTGGCACCGTTTTGCCGTTCCCCATCCTGGGGAACAAGGGCACTCTGGGCAATGCGCCCAGCCTGGGAACAAGCGGACATCTGCATGCACCCGCATGCAGCGCGCATCACTGTCACGAGCTGCCTCGGCACTCAGCAGCCGTTCCTGTGTCCCAGCCTCCCCTTGGTGGAGCAGCACCTCATCCCCCCGGGCCCTTGCAGGGGCGTCTTTGGGCGATTCCCTCCACGCTCCGTGTGCCCATTGCCCACCCTGGAGCCTTGCGAGCACCGCGTCCCCTGCTCAGGGCGAGAGCAGGGCTCCGTGTCCCGCGCGGAGCAGCCCGGCCGGACCCGCAGCTGGGGACGTGGGCAGCAGGGGCGGCACGCGGATGCCGGTTGCATTCCTGCGGGCGATGCCACAACGGCGATGCCAAAGGGGCGATGCCAAAGGGGAGCTTTATTGCGCACCGAGCGCTGCCTGGGGCGCACAAAGGCGCCTTGGGGACAGCTATGCGTGCGGCCGCGCCGTAGGTGGACGGCAGCGGATCAGAAGGAAACGCTGTCTCGCGGGGCAAGTTCAGAAGGACACGCAAAGCAACTGGCACGGGCTGAGAGTGCCCATACACGGCGCTGCGCCGCACGCCCGCGGGAACAAAGTGCTCAGTGTCGGCGCTCACCAGGGCCTTTTCTTCCCTGCAGGACCACAAAAGTTCAGCATGAGACCAGGGGCCACGTGTTGGCCGTCAGTTCACGACAAAGAGCGTTTGAGCCTTGGCTTGGGAGTCTCAAAAACATTATTGTCTGCGTCCCGGGGCATTTGTTTGCTGGGGCAACACGGAGCTGAAAAAATGTGACCCTCGGCACAGCTGCGCCTCAGCGCTCTCGTCACACGCGGGCCACCGCGCGGGGCCACCGCCAGCCACCTCCGCGGCGCCCCCGGCTCTTCCGCACCGAGGGCTGCAGGGGTCTGGCCTTGCCCTGCCGCAGGGCGCAGGGCTTTGCGGCGCCCCTCCTACGTGCGGGACCCTCTGCATGTCACTGCTGGACATGTCAACGTGCCCACGTGCAGCCGGGCTGGCATTTGGGGCTGTGGGAGGGTAAAGCTGGGTTTGAGCGCGCAGGACCTCCCGCGCTTGCAGGCTGGCGCTCGCAGCATCACGGGTGCTGGCTGCAAGGGCCTCCACGGCACCGCGGGCTCTGCTGCTCCCTTCCTCAGTCAGCAACGCTTTGCCCCAAGGCGGCTGTAAGGTTTTGATCTAGCTAAGCCCACGGTCAGACTGCATGAAGTGCTTGGAGATCCACAGGACGGTTTTCAGGGGGGATTTTGGGTGCTAGGGTGATCTGACAGCTTGCAGGAGGTTCTGCTCTGGTGCATGCCAGCCCGGGGCAGCTCTGGTGCAGCCCAGGCCCCACAGAAGCTGCTCCTGTGCCCTCGGGTGGACCTGCTCCAGGCAGGAGGAACCCAGGCGCGGGTGTTAATCCCGACTGCACCCAGGTGCGGGTGCTAATCCTGACTGCAGCCAGGTGTGGGTGCTGATCCCAGTTGCAGCCAGGTGCGGGTGCTAATCCCAGCTCCAACCAGGTGCGGGTGCTAATCCCAGCCGTGGCCAGACCAATGGGCTGGGAGGGAGAAGCCTCCAAATCCCCGGAGCAGCAGCAGGACAAGGGCTGTTCCCAGCCCGCTGTGGGGCTGCTCCTTGGCTGTCTGGAGCTGCCAGGTAGGAAGGGCTGCGGAGCGGGATGGGGCAGGAGGGTCCCGGGAAGCTCCCTGGGTGGCTCTGGCCCATGCGGCAGGGCCTGGTGCCGCTGCGGGTCCCGGCACCCCGGAGCCTCCCCGCCGTGTGCAGCTCGCTGCTCTCACGCAGATAAACTGGCCCTTGTTGCCAAAAATAAACGTTAGCGCTCCGAATGCACACTTCAATAGCACCAGCTCATTAGAGATGCATATCACTTGGCTTCGGTCCCACACCTTCCAGCTTGTTATAAATATGCAGTTGCTGCTGGCTCTACCCCAATCATCTCTGCAATCAGAGCTTTTAATTAGGTTAATTAAATTGTATCAAACCTCACAGGGACGCAGTTCACTGATGCTGATGAGGCAGCCAAAACAGACCTTAGCTCTGGCTCTAATGAAGGCCCTGCCACAGCTAACGACAGTGCATAATCAATGAGCGCTTCCCTGGAAAGGCGCATTGGGGCACGTGGGTGCATGTCCCGTGCTTCCCGACACAGGGCAGCGGAGCTGGGGTGTCCGGGTGCTCTCGGGCTCCCGCCTGGGCCCGTGGGTGCAGCCTGGCCCCGCTCTGCCCACGTGAGTGGCTTTCCCTGGGCTTTCTTTGCATCCGATGGGGCTGGACTGGAGGTTGGAATGCTGCACTGGGAGGGCATGGCCGGGAGCGGGGGGGTGCCTGGCTGGGGTGCTGAGGGGTGGAGTGACCCCGTGGAGAGCGGCTGTGTTGAGCAGCAGTCGGTGGCTCCTGTTTTGCATTGCACACCCCTCTCCTCATGTGTGCAGTGAGAGGCTGTGTCCCAAGCAGGGGAGCACGGTGACGTTGGGCTGTGCTGGTCTGCAGCCCCGGCCCTGCGATGCTTCTGCTGCCTTTGCAGCAACGATTGCAGGTGCCTGGAGGTGCAGACTCCTATTAGCTGTTCTAAGCGGTCTTTATCAATTGAGCTCCTCAGCTCCAAGGATGAATTACGTGGAATTACTGTATGGCAGAACATTATTGAGTCACCTGAAACCAGAGTGGTGAACCTGGGGGCTGTTTTGATATCTGTATCTTCCAAGCTGCAGGGAATCTCCTGCTGGAGAACCGGTTGGTCCAGGCTCCCCTGCTGCAATCATTGCAAGCAGAGGAGAGCTGCGAGCTCCGTCCCTGCCCCTGGGGCCGGCGGGAGGGCGGCGGGGCCCAGCGCATCTCCTGGCCCTGAGCAGGCCGGGTTGCAGGGTGCTCAGCTTGCTCAGGAGGCACCGACCCTTCCTGGACTCCAGCAGGAGCATTTCAGCACGTGAAGATGAGGCAGCTGTGCTAGGGATCCAGGGCTGGGATCGAGAGCAAGGGCTGGCGGAGGGACGGGTTTAGTGATGCCCTCAAACGAGCATCTTTGGCCCTGGGATTGACGCGTGGGGAAAGGGCCCTGGGACAGAGGCATTCTCGGTGATGAGGTGCCACCTCTGCTGGCACTTTCTTGATGCCACATGTGGCCACACGGTGTGTCCTTGCAGTGGGGCATCCCAGTGGGACACGGCCTGGCGGGTGTTCCCCAGCGCTGAGCTGTGTGCCCTTGCAGCGCCTGGGCTGCACAGGGGTGGGAATGGACCAAGGCACAGTCCCTGCTGCTGCTCGTCCTCCAAGGGGCTTCACCTGGCCACAGGTGAGCAAATAGCACAAGGAATTTCACTGCAAAGACCCCGTGTTGGCAGTAGTGATGTGCACTGACCAGCCAACTTCCCAGTGGGAGAACTTCTTATTCCATAGGTACAAGTCTCATCTGCTTTTAATAGTGATATATAGTCCTTCCTTTAATGTTCCCCATCAAGGAAAAAAGCAAATGGATAATGCCACAATTGTTTTAACTTTGTGATCTTTGTAATCACAAGAACTATGTCCACTATTACACTGAAGTTGCACTTCAGCACCTGAGAAATATTCATGCTTCCAGACAGGCGAGAAAATCTTTGGATGTGGGAAGACTTTGAGAATCTTTTTTGACCATCTTGCATGGGCATGTGCTACTGGCAGACACAGAGTGAGTGAGAGAGATAAGGGAAGGAATGTTTACACCCAGGCTCTCCCAACTTGCCTGAACTTCTCCAGCACACTTCAGGATGTCTCCATTGTTCTCGCTGGAAACCCTTCTGCAACTACCAAAGCAGTGATGAGCACAACATAAATGGAGGACAAACCTCAGTCCTGCATGTGGCTTCTCTTTATGAATCTCAGCAGTGTTCAAAATCATTAAGTTCTACCAGAGAGTCCTTGTGGTAGGAGCAGTGCCCCTTGGTAAGGTATGGGATAAAGCAAACAAACAGCAATGTGTTTAGGTACCTTATTTGCAAGTACCAAAGTCACTTATAAAGCATGAGATCTCTCTCCTTCTGTACAGTGGAAGCACCAGTAGCACCGTTCCTGGCTGGCCTTTGGCTAAGACGGTGCTTGAATTTAGCACTGTGTCCTCAGCAATGCCTTTCACTGCTGAAGTTTCAAAGTGGAACACTTTGTGCAGGTAAAATGACAGAAAAAGCAAAGATAGATGTCAAAAAGGAGGAAAAAATTGTTTAGAAAGGTGACATTCAACTCTGGTAGAAAACTGATCTAGAATCTTGTGTTTGTGGCCATGTGGTCTGCTGGCCACAACTGAAAGTAACAGAAAGGCTGGGATACCTATTTTGCTTGTGGGCTGCCTGTTCCACATCTTAGCTTTGACGCTGACTTTTCAAGGACTGTTTACAGTGTACTTCACTAGCACACTTGGGCACCTCTTGTGGGTTTCCAGTGTAAACACCATGAGGATAAACTGATTTATTAATCCATTAATTAGATACATGTTTATAGCTACAGAAGGCCCAGAGTAATTTGTTTTGACATGGTGTTAAGATTGCAGTGGAAGCCAGACTGATGTTGATGCTGTATCGGTACTTCTTAAAGAGAATCTTCCTTCTAAACAAAGGTTACATTAATTACTTCATGGAACAATTAGCGTTTCCGCTGAAATTTGAACTTGTAAATAGCTGGACTGTTTGTTGTCTCTTTCTTCACCTTCACTTTCTGTGTTTTATCCTGAAGGAGAGGAGAAAAAAAAAAGGGAAAAAAGTCCTGAAATAAGTAACACAAACCCTGCCTGTGACTGAAGAGGTATTAGTGACAAGTGAACATGTTCCACTATTCAGATAGGGTTAATAATTCCATTTGCTTTTCTGACTTTGGTTTGTCAGGTACAATCTATTTGGCTCATGGGCACCAGAAGGTGGCAAGCCCCACTAAAACAAGCATTTTTTTGGTCACTAGGATTTAAAAGATTTTCTTGTAACCTACAGAACTGCTTCCTTCCCTCGGATGCTACTTGAAAGCATTATTGGGGTACTTGAGAGGTGACAGCAATAGTATTTGTTAAGTCTTTGTCCTTTCTAATAGGGTTCAGTTGTGATAGCAGATAAAAGTTACTAGTCTTGTTACAAATGGAATGCTCTGAAGCCCTCTCCTTGCATTTTTCATGCCAAAGTTAGTTTTAGCAGTCACCTAGAAAAGTCAGTATAAGACTGAAGTAATATACGTAAAACTAGACTTAAAAACAGTACAGATCCCAAAACAAAACAGCCCTCACCAAAAGGTCTTTGCGTGTCTGAATCTTCTGTGCAATTACAAACATGGTCTTTTCTCGCTCAATTCGCTGCTTCAGGAGGTCATACTGATTCTTCCTTTGTTGGGCTAATTTCTGAAGAAGAATAAAAAGCATTTTTAACACAAAGAAACAAAACGTTAGTCTGGAACCGACCTCAGAGGTTTTTTAGCATTTTAAATCTTAACAGTTTTACTGAAGAATGTTGCTTTTATTCTGTGGCTAGATTCCAGAAAATTGTGTAACATCTTTATCAGACTTGAGGTTTTCTAGTTAGGGCTTGATTCTCCTTGCTTGTTTTAATCTCTTAAATCTAAACCAGAGGGAGGAAAAAAAAAAAAAAAAAAACTTCTAACTTGGCTTGGATAATGTGGAGCCTTGTTTGGTAGGTGGTCTCTAGAAACATATATATATTTTTTAAAGTCATCTGAACTTCAATGTTGGGTATGAGAGAAAATTTTAACTCTGAAAGGAAAGCTCAAAACTTTTAGTCAGAGTAAGGCAAAAAATCCTGAAGTGCCTAGAAATTACACAGGGGCCACCCAACATGCAGTTTGTTTGGTCATGTTTATCTGCTAAGAACTGATGGCTTTCCCAGCACAAAATGGTATTTCTGCAGGTGTGATTTAAGTAGCAACATCCAAAAAGAACAGTTCCCAACACGCTTACAATATGACTCAGACATTCAGAAATGATATATCCATCTAAAACTTGTCTAGCTGCTTTACTGATAAGTCAATCAGAAAGCTGGCAACAAGGCAGGCATCTGAATCACAGGACAACAGACTACAAATTTACTAATTGTCGATTTTTAGACAACTTTATCTCACATCTACTGACTCAAGCTTGTAAGACAGTCCACTACATCAAAGCTACTTAGGCATTTACAGTGCTAAAGCCAAGTTTAGTTACTTCTAGGACTGAACCACCATGTCTCTAATACAAATTCTAGGAAAAGAGAAACACTTTGTGCTCCTCCAAAACATTCCAGTGAATCTTTTTGAGGACTTATTGCATCAAATATGTGAAGTGTAAAGGGCTCTGTAATCCAAATAGTGGCAGCACAAACTACCTTTAGGTGGGCAGGATCAGTAGCTCCTTTCAGCGACTCTTTCTGTAACGTTGCAATGGTCGGGCGGTTGTACACTCTGTCCACCAGCTCCGGAACGGTGTTCAGGTGAGTTGCAATATCAAACTCTTGAACTAAAAAAAGAGAAAAAAAAAAAGGAATGACAACTTCTCAAAACATCTGGTCTAATACCCAACAAACCATCCAAATGTAGCTCATGTACAGTCAGTAATGGAGACAGCCCTAGGGAGACAGCTCCTGTGGAACAAGATGCCACCCTTAGTTACCAAAAAAGATGCTCTGAGCACTTAAAATACTTTCCTAAAATAGAATAATGATATATGACAACAGCATAAAGGAAGCACTGTGGCATTTTACAGCTGTTACACAGTCTGAAAGGAAAGGTCAAAAAGCCTTGGACAAAGCCTGTATGTGTCTTGCCTTCTTTTTTGGTATCAAAGAAGAACACGTGCTTGTTGGGCTGCTTCCCCTCCGCGTCCAGGAGATGGAGCTCCGACTTCAGCCTTTCGATTTTCTGCAGAAAGGAAAAGTTGATCTCAGTTTTGATAAACAGCTGTAACAAAGTGGATTGAGTCTCCTTGAAGGAAATTCTTGATTGTTTTTCAAAAGCATCTGCACCTAAACATTTCTTCTTGTTTTAATGTTCCTTAAACTTATCTAGTCTATATTTATACTGTCTCCTCAAAACCTTCCCAGGTAACTTACAATAATTTCCAGCATCACCTAGTCAAATATGTGCAAATCATTTTCCAAAGATGACTGACCTGATGGTGGACAAAACAGAAAGGATTACCCTGAACGTACTAGCAAAGGGCTGACAGAAAATCCAAAGCTGATTTTCTTGAGCTTTTTTTGTATGTGGAGAACACTTCAGTATAGTTCCATCAGCAATGAGGTGGGGAGTATTATTGAACAAGGATATGGAACAAACGGTTTTCAGGGGTCAAACGTTTGCTGTCTGCCCAGCACATCACCCCATTTCAGTGACAGGCCTCTACCCTCGCTACGTGTGAGAGGCACCTGGGCCTCTACGGCTACGGGAGAGGCACCGGGGCACCCGGGTGTGCGGCGACGTTACCTTGGCTTCCGCCACCCGCTTCATCTCCACGTACTTGAGGTCCTGCGTCCTCATCACTTTGGCCTGCTCGGGCGTCACCTCGTCCTTGGGCTGCTTGACCACGTGAACGCCATCCTGGAAGCGGAGGGCAGGGGGGGCTCAGCCGGGTCGGCGGGGCCCGGGGACCCCTCTGTGCTGTGCGGGGTCCGCTCGTGCCCCCCGGCAGGGCCCGGTGCCCACCTGCAGGCTGCTGCGGACCATCTGGAAGTAGAACTCGTCGGGGTTGCGCTCCAGCGCCTTCCTCTGCAGCGCGCGCAGCGCATCCTGCTTCTTGCGGTAGTCGCTGCGGGGGGAGCGGGGCGGCGGTGAGGCCGGGTCGGGCCGGACCGGGCCCGGTGGCGGGGCAGGCCGGGCCCGGCGGCGCGGTACGGGGGGGGGGGGGGGTGGTCACTCACTCCGCTCGCAGCCGGTAGTCCTTCTTCTTCTCCAGCAGCCCCAGCTTCCGCCGCGCCGCCGGCTACGGAACACGCGGCGCCGCGTCAGCGCGCGGGGAGCGCCGCCAGGCCCGGCCAGGCCCGGCGGCGGCGCGGACCGGGGCAGGGGCGGAACCGCGCGCAGGGGGCTCGCACCGACCTGTGCTCGCTCGCGGTGCGGGCGCTGCCCCGACTTGGCGGCTTTCCTGAAGGCGGCCGACATGGCGGCGGCGGCGGCGGCCACGCGCGGCGCCTGCTCCCGCACCGGCGGAAACGCCCCGCCCCCGGAGACCACGCCCACCTCGGCGGCCCCGCCCAGGCGAGCACGCCCACCCTGACGGATACGCCCCCGCCCCAGAGGCCCCGCCCCGCATCAGGCAGCGCAGCGTGCAGGGAGGGCGGGGCGGGAGCACGCTTGTCTCCATGGCGACCGGCGGCTCGCGCCGCCCGCCCCGCCCCGCCCCGGCCGCCGCCGGGACC